GTAGCGATGCCAGGAGCCCCTAGTAGCGTCATTGCTCCTAGTAGCGATGCCAGGAGCCCCTAGTAGCGTCATTGCTCCTAGTAGCGATGCCAGGAGCCCCTAGTAGCGTCCTTGCTCCTAGTAGCGATGCCAGGAGCCCCTAGTAGCGTCCTTGCTCCTGGTAGCGATGCCAGGAGCCCCTAGTAGCGTCCTTGCTCCTAGTAGCGATGCCAGGAGCCCCTAGTAGCGTCATTGCTCCTGGTAGCGATGCCAGGAGCCCCTAGTAGCGTCATTGTTCCAAATATAAGCACGTTCCAAGTATACTCTGATGCTATTCACAGACCGATGAGACTTCTTGGGGGCGATGCTTGGGAACATGTTTCTTCCAAAACACTGCGCGTCCTCTCATGGCCAATCAAACTACCCATTGGACGCGTCCAACCTTTAACCATGAGTGAATTTTGTGCCAGGCTGGCAAAGGACTGGGGGGCCGAAGGGAAAGGGAAGGGTGAACGGATGGGTGTTGAAGATCCTGCAAAAAAGGAAGAGAAACAGAGAAAGAAAGACGGGAAAAGACGAAAGGACCATGCTGGGTTTTCACTGCCCTGTACTCTTAAGTGACTATGTACCAACCAACTTACAAGAATGCTGCCAGTTGCTTCTTGCGGACCTTTTTGTCTTCAGACCTCTTACCGACTCTTACCTTTCTTTCGCTTGATTCGAAGCTGTCAACGAGCATTTTCAAAAGCCGCAGAGAGTTTCACGCAAGGAGCCAAAGGTCCCAAAGGCGCCAAAGGCCCTCCGAAAGGTGCAGCTGTTTAAGTGCAAAGTCTTGGCGGTCCGAGTGATGTTTTAAGTTTCAAGTGAAGAGTCAGATTTTGGCGTCCTCATGAACACTTGAAAGATTAGATTCTTACTTTTTGACATTCTTGGCAAAACCGAACAGATATCAGACAGTTTCTTGCAAAAACTGAAGCCGTTTGGTAGAGATTATGCAGTTCAAACTGCAAATGGCGAACTAACTGCAAGGAGCTGGCAAGGGCGGAACGAAAGCTGCCCCAGGCAAGCTCGGCACCAGGGAATTCATTGACCAACATACCAAAGCAAACAGGGCTGAACATTGTAGAGATGCAAGTGATGCCATGTAACTAGTGACAAACATACTGAAAGTGTTGGCGATGCACCTGAAGGCTAGAAACATCATTGACATCGGAGGTGTTTCTTCTTTGGAAGAGCTTTTTTTATTTTGACAATCTTTATCAGCAAACTTAGCAGGTAACTCCGCAGTCCAGGTCTAAAGGGCTTTTCTATTCGATGCATCGCGCAACCGGCGTAACCAGATCGCGGCGAGACGATCACTGGGGCCAACTTGGAGGTGGGGTTCACAGTTTTTCAAGGAATTGCATGAAGTTGTATGAGTGGAGAAGTTAAGTGGAGAAGTTGTGCAGATGAATTTTGATTCACAAGCTTTGAGGCGGCCGTGGTTTACTGTGCTAATTCGACTTTCTGAAGGCGTTACTAGTAGCTTCTTGTTACTAGTAGCGATGCCAGGAGCCCCTAGTAGCTTCTT